CAAGATAAATAATGTAATGAAGTCATTTTGAGTTATTGTAACTTTCTTTTTGTGATGTTTTTGTCTTGCAGAGCGGGAATATTTGAGCCCAGCGCTGTCCATACATCTTTTCTGCGGCGGAGAAGCTCTGTTGACGGAGGAGGAGGGGTTTTCGGAGAGTGACGTGCGTGTGTCCTAGCTTGTGGGCCGCATTATTGCTTCATATCTGCCATGTCCTTCCCCATCTACCAGGTGAAGAAAGAGGAACCGGAAGAAGAGCCCATCAATACTCCTAGGAGTGCCGGAAATCCCTCAGCCGGTGATAATGTTCCGCCTGCCAACGCACCTGTGGCGGAAAAGGAAAGCGCTCCGGTTGCATCTTACGCGTCGCCCGCCTGGTACTATTTCGGTGTTCCCGGCGGCTCCTCCAACCTGCAGCGTGAGCCCATCGTCTACTGCTTGCTGTGCCAGATTCAGGTGAAGAGAGGGACTGTCCCGGGCAAGCTGGGCACCACTTGCCTCTATACCCACCTTGAGAGACGCCACAACCTCACCCGGGAGGAAGTGTTCGACGCGGCGGCGGCCGCTGGCTACTGCGGCCCCATCATCACGCCTGCTCCTACAACTGCACCTGCCGTTCCATCACCTACTCCGACTCCGACCGCTTCACCCGCCATTCAGACCTGGGAGTGCAGCAACGACGGCAGCGGACTTGTCCTCATTCCTGTCAAGAGGTCTGGCGCCTCCTCCACCGAGCAAGGCAAATGCGGACGCGCGTCCAAACGCAAAGCCACGATGGCTCCCGCCACCAGTTCTGAAATTCCTGGGCTCACCAAATGTCAGACCACCACCGCTCCTGCCACTTCCTCCGAACCCGCCGAGACCCCCGACTTGGCCAAACACCAGCCTACAGCTGCCTCTGTGACTTCCTCAGGGCCGCCCGGAACGCCCGAACTGAGCAAGTGTCAAGCTTTGTCTGCTCCGGCAACGTCGTCGGGACCATCCGAAACCCCAAAGCTCTCGAAGCCTTCCGGCTCAGGACGTAGGCAGCAGTCTAGAGGTCAGGGCAGGGCCCTGTCGTCTTCGTACCGCCAATCGCTACGTGACCGCCTGCTCAGCAGCGTGCACATGTACTGCGAGGTGTGCCACACTCTGATACTGTCGGGGGAGAGGAGCCAGAGCGCACGGGACCTGGCGCTGGAGACTCACTTCTCCTCACAACATCCTCACATGTTCAGCCGCCTGAAGCGCGGGGCTGCCAGGGATGCACGCCTGGGGGGTCTGGGCCCTTCTTCTGTGGTTCCTTCTGCTCCTCACCCTGGGACTTTTGCCCCCTCCTCTGGTCCATGCTGAGCTGTGCCCGTGTTTATTTTTTTTTTTTAATGCAGCCTACATGACACTCTCCTGGTCATTTCTACTGTACTTGCTGCTCTGGGGTTGCCGAGCCTGGCTACCTTGGCATTACTGAGTCATGTGACCATTTGCAGCCACACCCATTATTGCAGCAGCCTGGAAGACGCTGCTGTTTATGGCAGAATCCTGACAGGCAAAGTTACCACACTTCTTGGTAGTGTTGCGGCATGCATGACGTTGCCGCTCGTCCTCCCCATGTTCCTATTGGCTCATCATGGGTATGGACTGCCTCACTGGCCAGTAGGAATGTGCAGGAGCGGTGGGCAAGCTTTGTCGCTATTGGGAAGTGGGCTGGGATGTTGAAGGGTTTTGGAGGCTGCTGCAGGTGTGCGTCGGCACTTGGTGCTTAAATATAATAGCTGCAGTCTCTTTAAAGTGAACCTCTAGGCAGGATAAATACCTTTTTAATACTTATTCTTTCCACGCAGTCCGAGAGCTTTAAAATGAGCCCTGATTGACCTCTGTAGCCGCAGGCACCATGGAGCAATTCATCCTCAAAATTCACAGCAAAATGACTAAAGTTGTCCTCAGCAGTTCAGCTCACCCCTCTGCCCCCTCCCGGCATTGGCTGATCATCTTACCTCCCCCTCCTCTTCTAACGGTGACTCCAGTTTTTAGCTGACCCCCCCTTTCCCCAATAGAGCTCTTGTTCTTTTTTACTTTAGGGATCGGAAAGCTCAAAGACTGCTGAGGCACTGCAGGGGGATGTAAACTGCTCAGTCACTGCTGGGTGCTGAGCTGCTGAATCATAGTTGGGAGGGGGGGAACAGTGGAAGCTGAGCTGTTGAATCACTCCTAAGAGGGGGAACAGGGGGAGCTGAGCTGTGAGAGGGGGAACGGGGGGGCTGAGCTGTTGAATCACTCCTGAGAGGGGGAACGGGGGGCTGAGCTGTGAGAGGGGGAATGGAGGGCTGAGTTGTTGAATCACTCCTGAGAGGGGGAACGGGGGGCTGAGCTGTGAGAGGGGGAATGGAGGGCTGAGTTGTTGAATCACTCCTGAGAGGGGGAACGGGGGGCTGAGCTGTGAGAGGGGGAATGGAGGGCTGAGTTGTTGAATCACTCCTGAGAGGGGGAACGGGGGGCTGAGCTGTGAGAGGGGGAATGGAGGGCTGAGTTGTTGAATCACTCCTGAGAGGGGGAACGGGGGGCTGAGCTGTGAGAGGGGGAATGGAGGGCTGAGTTGTTGAATCACTCCTGAGAGGGGGAACGGGGGGCTGAGCTGTGAGAGGGGGAATGGAGGGCTGAGTTGTTGAATCACTCCTGAGAGGGGGAACGGGGGGCTGAGCTGTGAGAGGGGGAATGGAGGGCTGAGTTGTTGAATCACTCCTGAGAGGGGGAACGGGGGGCTGAGCTGTGAGAGGGGGAATGGAGGGCTGAGTTGTTGAATCACTCCTGAGAGGGGGAACGGGGGGCTGAGCTGTGAGAGGGGGAATGGAGGGCTGAGTTGTTGAATCACTCCTGAGAGGGGGAACGGGGGGCTGAGCTGTGAGAGGGGGAATGGAGGGCTGAGTTGTTGAATCACTCCTGAGAGGGGGAACGGGGGGCTGAGCTGTGAGAGGGGGAATGGAGGGCTGAGTTGTTGAATCACTCCTGAGAGGGGGAACGGGGGGCTGAGCTGTGAGAGGGGGAATGGAGGGCTGAGTTGTTGAATCACTCCTGAGAGGGGGAACGGGGGGCTGAGCTGTGAGAGGGGGAATGGAGGGCTGAGTTGTTGAATCACTCCTGAGAGGGGGAACGGGGGGCTGAGCTGTGAGAGGGGGAATGGAGGGCTGAGTTGTTGAATCACTCCTGAGAGGGGGAACGGGGGGCTGAGCTGTGAGAGGGGGAATGGAGGGCTGAGTTGTTGAATCACTCCTGAGAGGGGGAACGGGGGGCTGAGCTGTGAGAGGGGGAATGGAGGGCTGAGTTGTTGAATCACTCCTGAGAGGGGGAACGGGGGGCTGAGCTGTGAGAGGGGGAATGGAGGGCTGAGTTGTTGAATCACTCCTGAGAGGGGGAACGGGGGGCTGAGCTGTGAGAGGGGGAATGGAGGGCTGAGTTGTTGAATCACTCCTGAGAGGGGGAACGGGGGGCTGAGCTGTGAGAGGGGGAATGGAGGGCTGAGTTGTTGAATCACTCCTGAGAGGGGGAACGGGGGGCTGAGCTGTGAGAGGGGGAATGGAGGGCTGAGTTGTTGAATCACTCCTGAGAGGGGGAACGGGGGGCTGAGCTGTGAGAGGGGGAATGGAGGGCTGAGTTGTTGAATCACTCCTGAGAGGGGGAACGGGGGGCTGAGCTGTGAGAGGGGGAATGGAGGGCTGAGTTGTTGAATCACTCCTGAGAGGGGGAACGGGGGGCTGAGCTGTGAGAGGGGGAATGGAGGGCTGAGTTGTTGAATCACTCCTGAGAGGGGGAACGGGGGGCTGAGCTGTGAGAGGGGGAATGGAGGGCTGAGTTGTTGAATCACTCCTGAGAGGGGGAACGGGGGGCTGAGCTGTGAGAGGGGGAATGGAGGGCTGAGTTGTTGAATCACTCCTGAGAGGGGGAACGGGGGGCTGAGCTGTGAGAGGGGGAATGGAGGGCTGAGTTGTTGAATCACTCCTGAGAGGGGGAACGGGGGGCTGAGCTGTGAGAGGGGGAATGGAGGGCTGAGTTGTTGAATCACTCCTGAGAGGGGGAACGGGGGGCTGAGCTGTGAGAGGGGGAACAGGGGGAGCTGAGCTGTGAGAGGGGGAACGGGGGGGCTGAGCTGTGAGAGGGGCAACGGGGGGGCTGAGCTGTTGAATCACTCCTGAGAGGGGGAACAGGGGGAGCTGAGCTGCTCAGTCACAACTGGGAGGAGGGAGCTCAGCTGCTCCTTCCCTTTCTAGCAGTGACTCCGCAGTTCAGCTGACCCCGCTCCCCCCTCAGAAAGCTCATGCTCGGTGTTTACACAGAGATCGGAAGGGTTAAAGACTGCTTAGTCCATACTTGGAGGGGGAGCTGAGCTCCTGGGTCACAGGTAACGGGGCATCTGACTTCCTCAATCACTACTGAATCGAAGGTGCAAGTAATTGAGCTGCTCAATCACTGCTGGGAGAGGGGGAGCGAGGTAAGCCGAGCTGCAGAGAAAAAGACTTGCATTTGAGGATGAATTGCTCCAGATTGGCTGCAGCTACAAATGTCAGGAATGATTTGTTTTAATGCTTGATATGAGTACGTAACTACTTGAATGTCCTCATCCTGGCCACAGGTTCACTTTCTACAACAGTGGCAGCTCCCCTAACGTAGTTCTCGCAGGTTCCCTTCTCTGATGTTTTTATACCTATAAAGACTGTTCATCTCGGTCCTTTTCTGTGGAAAAGACTTAACGGTTTCCTCCCCATAGTTCTCTCTGATCTGTACAAAGTATGTCATTCAAATAGTTCCTTATAGGAATCTTGGGATTATTTTTTATAACGATGTTAATAAAATAAAGCTTTAAAGTACAAAAAAAAAAAGAAAGTTTTTCCCATTTCTGGTGGCGTGGGAGATGGCTTGCTGAATGCGACAGATATCCCCTCACCTCAGCCGAGGTCGGCCAGCATGGCTTTTCAGACGAGCTACAGTTGTCGGTGACTTCCCATGGGTGCCTATGTACCTGACGAAGCCTTGAATGGCGAAACGCTGCAGCTGGAGTAGGGGGGACGTCATCACTCAGGTTTACCAAAAATTTGCGGTCAAATTGAGTTATGTTTGAATTGCGATTATTTGCTTTTTATATGAGCGATCTTTTATAAAGAGCTGGTTACAAACTATATGAACTATTCTGATCTCTCTGGCTGATTATTTTTCTTGCCCGGGATTAAGATCTGAGGCTTCATCGTAGGTGAAAGGGGGGATGTATCGTTTTATTTTGCAAAGATTTACTTTATCGTGTTCAAGGTTAAATAAATAGTAAAAATATATTTTTATTTGTTTTAGTGAGATGATTGGAACTGTTACATAAAAATATATTGTATTTGCCATTTTCCTGCCAGCAGGTGGCGCTGTATCTTCAGTTGCTCAGCGGGCTATCCTTGACTACTGTGCTGAAAAAGCCTGTTTTTAGTATGGAACTTTAATGTGATTATGAATGCATACTGGCCTCTTCCTTTAGAAAACTATATCTCACTACACCTCACTTCCTGCCCAAATAGAAAAAAGGTGGTTTTATGGCTTTATGTGGTGTTGCTCTTATAATAATATAATATAATATGGGCATCTGCAGGTATAGTTACATATATATGAATCTCTGCCAGGCCCAGATATAAGAATGGCGCCTTAATTTACTGATTGCGTACTTGGCCCACCCACCTCTCACACTTTATTATCCTATACCGGTGATGGACATAATGGGGGAGCAATAGTGAGACATGGGAATGAGCAGGGGAAGCACAACATGAGGAATCAAAGTCACCATTGCATAATTGAAAAGCCAAGGCTAATGGGCTACTGTGAGCTCAGCAGTGTATGTGACTTCACCTGGAGGAGGAGCAGGGCTTTGCTTCCTCGTATCGGAGCTGATGACTGGTGGGGTATTGATGAAGAAGTAGCAGGAGAGGTGAAGGAAGCACAGATCCATTGAATGGATCGAACAGGAGCAGGGAGATACTTGCACTGCAGGTCCTCAGGTACAGCTTCCCAGGAGCAGGGAGATACTTGCACTGCAGGTTCTCAGGTACAGCTTCCCAGGAGCAAGGAGATACTTGCACTGCAGTTCCTAAGGTAGAGCTTCCCAGGAGCATGGAGATATTTGCACTGCAGGTCCTCAGGTACAGCTTCCCAGGAGCAAGGAGATACTTGCACTGCAGGTCCTCAGGTACAGCTTCCCAGGAGCAAGGAGATACTTGCACTGCAGGTCCTCAGGTACAGCTTCCCTGGAGCAGGGAGATACTTGCACTGCAGGTCCTCAGGTACAGCTTCCCAGGAGCAAGGAGATACTTGCACTGCAGGTCCTCAGGTACAGCTTCCCAGGAGCAAGGAGATACTTGCACTGCCGGTTCTCAGGTACAGCTTCCCAGGAGCAGGGAGATACTTGCACTGCCGGTCCTCAGGTACAGCTTCCCAGGAGCAGGGAGATACTTGCACTGCAGTTCCTCATGTACAGCTTCCTCTCCAGCAAGGAGAACCATGAGCAACACAGTAGTGACATTTCCAAATCGTGGAAGAATAGTAGTCAGAGGTAGCAGATATAGAGCTATGAGGCTACAAAACAGGAGTGCCTAGGCACAGGAAGCACACTGTTTTTTGTCAGGAGGATATAAAACAAAAGGTGACATTTTTAAAGTACAGCTAAGCCAAAACTGATATTTCTAGATGTTCGCATCAAGATCATATCTTCGCTTTGGTTGACGGGCATGTCTGGCTTATTGCATGCTATCTCCGATCTCTTTTTGAGAACCCTGAAGTCCAAAAATGTAAATCACCCTGTTTGTTGCCTTTGGGCCAACCCTTCCTCCTCTATGTAGCAGAAAAGGGAAGACAAGCCAGCAAGCAGTAAGTTGGCTGATATTATACACTACAGAGCATCCCGGGCTTTGGTTTTTCTGGTGTGCAACAAAAGGGCTCCGAACCGTTATAGAGGCACCTGGAGGTGCCTAGTATTCAGAGTTAGGATGCACCGATACTGGTTTTTCGGTTACGAGTACCGATATTTTTATTTTTTTGCTTCTCGCCGATATTGGAAGTCCCGTTGGGGTATGCTAGGCCGCGTGTAAAGACTCGCCACCCGGCTTCCCGATTAACAGGGAAAGCCGTCTCCATGCTTCTCGTCACTAGGTGACAAGAAAGCATGGAGTCGGCTTTTTGGCCAATCAGGAAGTCGTGCGCCGTGTAATGACGCGGCGCCCGGCTTTCTGATTGGCCGGAAAAGCCGGCTCCGTGCTCCCTCGTCGCAAATGAGGGAGCATTGAGTTGGCTTTCCGGCCAATCAGGAAGCCGGGCAGCGTGCAATATCCCTCAGCGTCCTCACGTCCAATACACTGTATTGGATGTGATGACTTACGGGCTTTTAGACCATTGGGGGAGAGAGGCTTGCGTTATGTTCGTGTGAATCCTGAATTGAAATTCTTTTGGCAGGAATCCCATTCTTTGCCACGTGGCTAGTTCACATCTATGGGCTTCAGCTCAGTGCCATTTAACAATAAGAGACTGTATAACATTTCTGTTCATGAAAGCGGCTTGTTGCTGGGATAAATCTGAACTACAGGCAAAAATAAAGAGACACACGGGGGTGATTTATAAACCGTTCGCATAGCAAACATCTATGAGAATGAGGTTCGCTGTGCGTCATAGCCAATGGGGCTCGCAGTGCGTCATAGCCAATGGTGCTCGCAGTGCATCATATCGAATGAGATTTGCAGTGCATCATAGCCAATGAGGTTTGTAGTGGGTCATAGCCAATTGTGCTCGTAGTGCATCATAGCCAATGAGGCTCGCAGTGCATCATAGCCAATGAGGCTCGCAGTGCATCATAGCCAATGAGGCTCGCAGTGCATCATAGCCAATGAGGCTCGCAGTGCATCATAGCCAATGAAGCTTGCAGTGCATCATAGCCAATGAGGCGCGCAGTGCATTATAGCCAATGAGGCTCGCAGTGCATCATAGCCAATGAGGCTCGCAGTGCATCAGAGCCAATGAGGCTTGCGGTGCGTCATAGCCAATGAGCATTGCTGAGGAGCGAAGGAATTTACTATGCCCCTTGCCTCCATCTAGTGGCGATAGTTCACTGTGAACCTCATTGGCTATAATGCACAGCGAGCCTCTTTCGCATAGATGTTTGCTATGCAAACGGTCCAGCAGTAAAATCTCTAAAGGGAGGTGCAAGTGATACATTAGGAGGTAGCTGTGTGGGGATGAATTGTTTGAGAAAGTATTTCAATGATTAGGTTAAGGTGGAATAGGCTGAAGAGATGAGTCCTCATGGATCTCTAAAGGCAGACAGAGTGGGAGACAGACGGACAGGTTGGGGTAAAGCGTTCCAAAGGATGGGAGAGACTCTAGAGAAGTCCTGGAGGTGAGCATAGGAGAAGTTGACAAGGGAGCTAAAGAGCAGGAGGTCTTGGGAGGAGCTTAGGGGGCGGTTAGGGTGATACTTTGAGACCAGGTTGGAGATAGAGGTGGGGGAAATGTCTAAGTGCATTTACCTTTTTTGCCCCCTTTCCCTGACCTAACCTAACCCACCCTCCCCTTCCACTGATGTATACTTACCTCAATCCAACGGCTGGGGGTCCACCATTTGTTCACACCCAGCGCAGCAAGTCTTCACTGTCAATCTTTTGCATTACAGCGCCCATAGTTGTCTATAGGGCTGTGTCCCAAGGCTAGAAAGTCCTTAGTTCATACATAGTGACAAACTGGGGCTTGGTGCCTGAGTTCGCCCAAACCTTCTCAAAAACTGTGACCGACACCCCTACTCTCGGTCCAATTAGTGATGGCAGTTGCAGAAGGGACATTCCTTAACCCTTTGTGACGTGTTGCTGTAGGATAGGGAATGCACTTGCCACAACCGATTGAGCCGGGAGGGGGGTGTAGTCTTGGGAGAACTGGGTTTGTTTGTACCAAGCCCCAGCACGTCGCTCTACACACATCTAGGGACTGATTTTCAAATGCACCACTAGATGGCGCTGAGGAGCATTGGCATTTCCTATGCTCCTCAGTGCCATATAGGGGCGCTAGTGCCATGCAAACGGCATTCACACAGCTATACGATGAGCGCAAGTCTTATAAATCAGACCCTAGTGTTCTTTGACTGCAGTTCTTTACTTGTATAGTGACATTTAAGACTCCATCTTTTCACTGTGGAGGATGCTTTTATTTTAATTTGTGTCCTGTCTGCATTGTTTTGTGTTTGTCTTCAATCAAAAAAATTGCATATATATATATATATATATACACAAATCTGTTTCTGACTCTATAATCCCTGAATACTCCTTCCATTATATTGGCACCCATTGGTAATTAAAGCTGAACTGCCAGGGTCATATGGAAAACAGCTTCTTAATCCAATTATGTATTTATTAAAACACCATTAAAGGTCTTTTCAATAGAACTGGTGTAAGTACCAGAATCTGTCCCCCTGCAAAGCAGCTCTGAGTCTAGGAGAGGGGGTATGTGAGGCAATCCGACATCTGTTACTTTACACAGAGCAAGCCTACATTAGGATAGAGCAGAGTGATGATCTCATTGGCTTGCTGCTGCATTCTTCACTGTCCAATCACAGGCTGGGGGTGGATTTGGAACAGGGAGGCCCAGGACCTGACTGGGGAGCTTGGAACTCAAGACTGTCTGAACAGAATTGCAAATCTTTCAGCAGGTGAAGCAGTTCTCCGATATGTCTTCCAGCTGTGTATTAGGCTGTTTGCGCAGGGTACAGCGTTAAACATCTTGCAGTTAGTTGGGCAAGACCCTCCCTTTTTTTTAACGTGCTTTCCTTTGCTTTACAGACCAACCGCCATGCCCGTGAATTGCAGCAGCTGCGAAACCCAACGTGCCGTCCTACGCCGACCAAAGACCGGCCACTCCGTCTGCAAAGAATGCTTCTTCCGAGCCTTCGAGGAGGAGATCCACCACACTATTGTGACTGCCAAGCTCTTCCAGCCGGGAGAGAAAGTCGGCATCGGCGCCTCCGGCGGAAAGGACTCAACGGTGCTCGCCCACGTCATGAAAGTTCTCAACGAGCGCTATAACTACGGACTGGAGCTCATCCTGGTGTCTGTGGACGAAGGCATCTCGGGATACAGAGACGACTCCTTGGAGACGGTGAAAAGAAACCAGCAACAGTATGAGCTGCCTCTGAAAATCGTGTCCTATCAGGAGCTGTACGGGTGGACCATGGACCAGATCGTCAAGCAAGTAGGGCTGAAGAACAACTGTACCTTCTGTGGGGTGTTCAGGAGACAGGCGTTGGACCGAGGGGCCATGATGTTGGGCGTTAATAAGATCTGCACAGGTAACTACGCCTTTCAGTTGTGATATTGACATGCTAAGTTTAAAGCATCACTCAACCCAGAAGACTGGAACAGATTGTGAGTGCGGGGCATCATGACCACGCCCATGGCCATGGCGCCCTGCACTCACAGTACATTGATGCAGAGGGCGGCACTGATGTCATCACGTTGGTGCTGCTCTGCTTTATTCAGGACCCAATGCATTATATGACCATTAGAAAAGGAGGGAGGGGCATGCAACCCAGAGGTGGCTTTTAAAGATCTCTAAAGATTATTTGCCAAGCTTAACATCATCAACATTATCATTATCATCATCATCATCATCAAACAAACAAGAAGCTCCATCTGGGCCAATCTAACTTATGGATTACAAGAGGGTGTAATATTAAACAAATTGGACAGCCATTCGCCCTCTGTGAATGTTAATAGAGGCAAAAATGAACGTTCTTAGCATATTTTCATTATATAAGCCAAATAAAAAATCTGGATGATACCGTATTATGGCCACTAGATGGAGCCGAGAGGCATAGCAAATAAATACTTCTTTCCTATGCTCCTCAACTCCATCTAGTGGCCACAAAGTGGTATTTTCTGAATATAACATTCAACTTAAAGGAGAACTATGGGGTCAGGG